GGATAGTGAAACTCCCTGGGTCTTTTTGCTTCTCTGGTAGTTTGTTCTGCAGGATGGCAGAACACTCCTCGTTGAGCATCACCGTTGACAGCTCCCCAAGCTTCCTCTGAGGAGATCTTTCATGAACTTGGCATACCTGGGCATCTTCGATAATGCATCCACGAAGGGCATGCTTATATTCACCTACTTCAGCATTGCCATGAACTTGGCAAACTCAGTCTCCAGTCGGTCCTTGTGCAACCGAGTAGGAAAGGGGAGCTGGGGTACATACTCCTTCACCACTGGTTGCGGTTTAGGAGTAGGCACCTCAACCTCCTTCTCCATTTCATCTTCAATAGCTGGAAGTGCTGAAGCAGGGGTCTCTCTCTCTCTCTTCTGCCCGAACAGGTGGATCAGCAGTCACCTTGCCACTCCTGGTGGTAATGGCCCCGCAGTGCTCATTCGGGTTCTACGGATGAGGGATGGTCTGACTGGGTAGAGTACCAGGAGGCCTCTTAGCTACAGCCTGAGCAATACTCCGAAGCTGGGTCTGGATATCCCGAAGCACAGCCTGCGTGTTTCTCTGACCAGCTTCTAGCTCCATGAATTTTCCTGAAGCTTTCTCCATGAATTGCTCGATGTTATTGAACTTGTTTGCACTAGAGGTGGCCAGAGAGCCCACCAGATCTCGCAGTTACGCCATCGGGTCACTCTGAGCTGGGGCTGCAGGTGCTGCCCCTGTCTGCTGAAATGGCCGCACCTGTGACTGAGGTGGAACTGGCCCCTGTCTGGGCGGGTAGAGTGGCTGTTGTAGCTGCTGAAATTGCCCTTGTCTGGGCTGGTAAGGAGGCCTCTGGAAGCCAGGTGGTCCCTGGGGGACTGGTGGTCTGGAATTTGCCCCACCCCAGGAGAAGTTGGGATGCTGGCGCCACCCCTCGTTGTAAGTGTTGCTGTAGGGGTCGAAGCACCTGGCATTACTGATGAAGTCCACCTGCTCCTAGGGAGTAGACGACTCCCTCATCGCCTGACAGTCCTCCACGGTGTGATGGGAGCTCTCACACCACTGGCAGTGCATCGCCTGCGGCTGTCCTGTACCTGTAATCAATCCAGAGCGATCTATGGCTGAAACCAGCTTCGATACCACCTGCACCAAATCAGATGACTGGGTGGCGACAGCATGCACACCCCGCCCTGGTGCTCTTCTCGATCTCCTGGAAGTGCCCAATCAAATCCCTGCTCTGCCATCTCTTCAAAAAGTTGATTCAGCTGTGGCGGCGTTTTGGTGAGCATATTCCCGCCACAGACCGAGTCAATCAGCTGCTTGTCCTCCGGGAAGAGAGCATGGTAGAAGGTTCCCACCTTGAAGGCATCAGTAAAACCATGGTTGGGACACTTGAGGAAGAGACTGGTGTATCTCTCCCAAGCATCCCTGATGGTCTCATCCTCATCCTGAGCAAAATGGGTAATTTGCTTCTGCAGGTCCGCCGTCTTGGATGGAGGATGGTAGCGGGTGAGGAACTTGTTCGCCAGGTTGGCGAGCGTGGTGATAGAGCCTGGAGGTCGAGTGTCTAGCCACTCCTTGGCCTGCCCCTCCAGGGTGAATGGGAAGTACCTCAGCTGGATGGCATCTGCTGGGACCCCATTTATCTTGATTCCATCGATAAGCTCGTGGAATCGCCTCAAATGTGATCGGGGGCACTCCCCCTCCTTGCCACGGAACACCACTGAACCGCGCAACATTGTGATGACCGAGGTGCTCACCTCAAAGTTGTTTGCTGGCACATGAGGGTGTTGAATGGGTGACCACATGTCCGCGTCTCTGGCAGTCCAGTAGGATCCCATGGTCTGCTCCTCAGGAATGACCACATCATGGTCCTGTGGATCCCCCATCTCTTCTTCTTCTTCAGCGATCTGCAGCTGTGCTAGCTCCTCCTCCGCAGTCAGTCACGCCTTTAGAGCCCGCTTGAAGTTTCTGCAGGTTCGTTCAAGCTCCGGGTCTAGTGGTAGTAGATCTCCCGACTGGCTACGGGTCATGCACTACCTGCACACAATCAGCAGAAACAACCCGTGAAGGCACACAGGTGGAAGAGATAAAATGCAGTAAAAAAAAGCTACAGTAACAGATTTGCACGTTTCCCCAATAACCTAGAGGATCCCCGGCAACAGCGCCAAAAACTTGACACGCCAAAACACAACACCAAACTGCGACCAAGTGTAATCGCAGTCCGGGAATGCAGTAAAGTGGCAAGTTCTATTATCAACCCGGGGTCTAGATCTACTGCTTACTCCGTGATTATCTATTATCTAGCAAACTAAGTTAAGTGATTGTTGTTTTAAGCAAAAGCAGAAAGAAAGCAGGAATTGGTACGGTTTTCTCAAGCAAAGAAGAGTCACTCGGGAATGAGTCCCCCTAGCTCCTTAGTTAGGTCTCAATTGTAATTACCCTGGGTTGATTTACTGTTGATTAGACTGCGGAAGATCCGACAGTAGCTTGGAATCTCTTAAGCTGACCAAGCCCTCTCAGTCTAACTACCCGGCAGACGACTAGTCTTCACCGGGATAGAAAGCTGAAGCAATAAGCACAGAACTCCACTACTGGAATGGATTCCAGTACAAAGCAGTAAACTGGCTGACTCTCGTATAGCCAATCTCCTACTACCGAATGATGAGGCTCTAACAACTGTAGGTGTCAATCGGGCGGGTTCGGGCTGGGTTCAAACGGGTTGCGGGTTAGTCGGGTTGCGGGTTCATCGAGTTCGGGTTCATCGGGTTCGGGTTCAAACGGGTTGCGGGTTAGTCGGGTTGCGGGTTCATCGGGTTCGGGTTCAATCGGGTTGCGGGTAAATCGGGTTGCGGGTTCATCGGGTTTTGGGTCGGGCGGGTTGCGGGTGGGTCGGGTTTCGGGTTGTTCGGGCCAGCACATAAAGTAACTTAACTCATTACTCATTACCAACTTACACATTTTATTACACTAATTTAAAATATTTTCTCAACTTTTTAACCAATTTATTTCTACCTCGTTTATATATACTTTATTTAAAAAAAACTAGTCAAAATTTTTAATCAATTTGTATGACTTGCTAACTTGTTATGTAATTAATCATAATTGGTAAAGTATTATAGCTAATAGTAATGGTGATATCAATATTTGCAACCAAAAGACACCGTTAATTGTTTATTTGATATTTTAGTATTAATTCAGTAGTAATTGAATTAAAGTATCTCGTTTAGTATAACCATGCAAATCTGGTATTTGGCGTGTGGTAATTGCCAAAAGCATAGTGATAAAAGGAGTTATTTCAAAATAACTCATTGCCCAAATAACTTCAGTAAACTGTTGCCAAACGAGTTATTTGTAAAATTGTTCGAATTATCCTAAAAACTGAACCATTAAAGATTAGCTATCAAATTTAGTAAAATTATTGTGAATTCAATCATAACTTACTCAATAGCATATATATCCTATACACTTAGCCTTACCCTCAATCAACAATATTAAGTTAGTATATGTTGTTGATTGTATACCCTAAACCATCAATACATTATACACTAACCACATAACCTATACCCTAACCATATGTCCTTGAGTTGTGATTTTGCTAGTATAGTTAATTTAAAAGTGAAATTCATACTTTGATTTTCAAAACCTAGATAAAAAGTGATTTTTGCTAATTGTTATACCCTAACCATATATCCTTTACTTTACACCACATACCTTGTAGCCTAACCACGTACCATAAACATAAATTAAAAAGGGATCTCCTGCCGTTAAAGACTTCAAATGACTTCAAATGAACATATGTTAATAAAAAACTTAGAACCGTCAAAACCATCAATATCTTATACCCTAACCATATACACCCTAAATCATATGTACCTTATACCTTATACCCTAACCATATACTTTATATCCTAAACAACGAACCGTCAAAGATTACTTATCAAGTTTAGTATAAATTGTTGTAACTAATGGTTAATTCATTTATTAGCTCATAAACAATTACATACATATATACATATTAGCCTTCAAAGCATATAAGAATAATTTTAACTAGTCATGCCCTCCATATAAAAGTTAAAGATTCATATTTCAAAAGCTAAAATTATGAAAAACCAAAAAATTGAAAACACCAAATTTGTTTCCTTCTTTCTTTTCACAAAAATACTAAAATTTCCCTCCTTCTTTCTCCTTCCATACATTAGAAAAACTCAATTTTCCCTCCTCTTTCTCTTCCATAAAATTGAAAGAACCAAATTATTCTATTCTTTCCTTCTAAAAAAGTTGAAAAGTCAAAAGTTTCCATCCTTATTTCTCTTTCATAATCGAAAGAATCAAACTTTCCCACTTCCACTACAGGAAAACATATTTCTAGTCACGGGATCTTATTCACGGGAAATTTTCCCGTACTAAAATGTATACTAATAGACACAGGAAAAAGTCCAGTAATTAATTGTGTACTTCTAATCACGGGAGTTAATTTATATTTTTTCACTTTTCATTTCCCGTGATTAATTGTTAGTCATGGTTAATTACCGTGAATAATTTGCAAATTTAGCTTTGTAAATTTTAGGTGAAAATCAAGTAAAATTATAAAAAAAAATTAATTTCAAATTGCAAAGTAATAAAATTTTCTCCCTCATTATTCTAAACAGGGAGTTTTAGAATCAATACAATTTTTTCTCCCTTTTAAATGAGAAAACTCAAAAATTGAGACTCCAAAAATTTCCACAGCTCGTCTCAAAGTTTATAGTTATTTTTTTTTTTGTTATAAATTTACAGTTATTTTTAAATTAATAAATTGGGACTCCTACGATTTTATCTAAACATTCATGTAGAGCAATTATGCTGTCCTGCTATTTTTTCCCGCTACACAATCCAAAAATTTGGTCTCCTACAATCCTAAAATTTTGGCTTCGAAAAATGGCTCCAACAATTCTAAAATTTTGGCTTTCCCTCAATTTGCTTTACCAAGAAAAATTTGAAGTATAGATATAGAAAGTTTAGACAAACCCCCTCTCCCCTCTCTCTTCTCTCATCTCTCTTTCCAAGTTTCTTCTCGCTTGCTCAAGCCACCTCCCAAATATCTCTATTTTTTACTCTTCTCCCATTCTGTTCCACCGAAAATGATGGCGAAAGATAGAAAAAGACATTCCCCTCTGATTCACAATTTAAGGTTTGTTGTTATCTTTCAACTCTGCTAGATTTATCACTTTTGGTAGATGCATCATGCATACATTCTTTTACTAATCTTTGATTTATTTTGTTTGTTGCAAAATTTGAATCAATGAACGGGGGATGACCGGATGACCCCGCGGGAAAGTTTGCGAGGAGCTGTGGAAGTGGATTCGCCAGCGACGATGACTGACGGCAGAATAAGGTCAACAGGACGTGGAAGGTTGCCTTTGTTTTGCGTAAATTTTGATATTTTAGTTTTCTTTCAGTTGCATTCGTTTATTTTAGTTCTTCTGAATTAAACCTTTGTCCTTCCAGTTGAACGTGGATTTGATCCCTCCAATGATTTCTACACTCTTTTGATACTCAAATTCAGCTATTATGTTTGGTTGACTATTGAATTTGTATATAAAAATTTAGGGTTATGCTTCGAGTCAATTGGGGGTTTTGAGGAATCGCAAGAATTAAAGTTTCCGACCCTCTGAGTAGTTGATATAATAATGTTTCTGGTCTATCCCGAGGGTTTCATTTGCTGAATATCAATTTTGTTGATGAAAATGGCCCAGTCAAAGATTCTGCCATTAGTTTTATTCTTTCTCTGATAAAGAGTTCATGAACTCTAGACGTGGAGCTCTGCATTGGCTTCCTCTTAACTTGATATGGAAGTAATAGCAGTAACCCTGGTCATACTTTGTTCTATGGGATTGTGCCTGTATTGGTTGCATCAGTTCTCTCTGGTTGAGCTTCATCCTTGTGTCAATGGGCTTCTCAGGTTTGTTACAAATTGTTGGCATCAACATTTTTATTCATTGGACATGCTACATTACCATTTCCTTTTGTCACAGGTCAAGAAACACTCGGCATACCTCATGACAATTGAGATGTCGATTGTTGGAAGCCTGTGCTTATTCGTTAGCATGACAAAGTCTCCGGATGGTGAAGCAATCAGGAAGTTCGGATTTTTTCATGACTGGACTTCATTAACCTTGGTAATTTGTGTAGCTCGTGTTGATATAGTAAACTTTTGTATTATAGTTGTGACAAACATGTTTGGTAGCATTGTCTGGTGTGCTTACAGAACTTTGAGTTAACATTAATATCATAGAAGTGTTTAGGGGATGAGTTGTGCGGTGTTTTGTGAAATTTTCTACTGTGTGATCCTTCTGCAATTTGATGGTTTGGCTCTAAGAATTCTTTTGGTTGCTATTATTTTATAGATTCCTGTCAGAAAGGTAAAAAAATAACTGATGAGACTGTATGGTTATGGGAATTTTGTGCTTTGAACTGATATTGGAAAACCCAGTGCTTCTAACTCAAAGCAAGACTGGTTTCAGAGAGTTTGAAACCAGAGGGGAGAGACTATCTATTCCTTTTAATCAATCCTTCACTGTATTTGTTGGCTTATATCAGTTATTTTTCCTATTAAAGTTTGCTAATAAGTTGCGTTTTGTTTGTGGCCGATGAAGCATTCTGAAGTTTTTTGGATTAGTCGAGCATGTATTATGAATGACTATCTATTCTCTCTTGCTTGTAATATATAGTGTGTTTGTCTATCTCTTGACAAATTTATGTTTGAAACATAGGGTCTAATTGAAGTTTTTTACTATGTTTTGTCAGGAGATATGGGAGTTAATGGATGTTGCAGCTACTCAAGAACATCTTGTAGAAGCATAGATCAAATATTCTAATAACTTTTGATCATGTGTATTTGATTTTCATTATATCGATATTTTATCAACAATAACTAGTCTTTTCAATTATGTATTAATTAATATTGATCAATAAATAAATGATATGTGAACTAATTGTATTGACAATAATGTAAGAATTTGATGCTATAAGAGTTTGTCCTTCAATTGTATCATGGGAAAACATGATGGTTAGTGATTGATAATTAGAGATAGTAAAATACTGTGATGAATTGTTATTATCTAGACATTGTGATAAATTGTTATTATCTAAACATGATGGTTAGTGATTGATAATTTTACTTAAGTTTAGAATGAAAACTTTATTTTGAAAAACTATGTATTGTATATTTTTATAATTATTCAAGTGGATTAAATGAAATTCGGGTTGAGTCGGTCGGGTTACGGGTTAGTTGGGTTCGGGTCAATCGGGTTCGGGTTAATCGGGTTGCCGGTCAGTCGGGTTGCGGGTCAATTGGGTTCGGGTCAATCGGGTTGCGGGTCAGTCGGGTTGCGGGTTAGTTGGGTTGCGGGTCAATCGGGTTGCGGGTCGGGCGGGTTACAGGTTGTTGACTTTTAGTCAATTCGGGTTGCGGTCGGGTTTATCGGGCGGGTTAATCGGGTCGGGCTATGTTTTGACACCTATACTAGCAACCTAATCAGATTCTATCTATCTCAGGTTGCAGCAGAAATCAAGAAAAGCTGATCAGACTTCAATCAAATCAATAAACATGCATCATTCGATTAAAACCAAACAGTATAATCATCCCAAGTCATTACAATCAAATCCCTAACACAAGGAACTAAGGTTCTTCATACCCAAGTGAGAGAAGGGTTCTACTCCATAGAGAGAGAGAGGAAAACAGAATACAAAGCAATCATACTCATAACAATGGGAAGAATCTGCTCTAGGATGATGATTTCCACTCCTATGACGATCTCCAAGCTCGATTTGATGAAACCCAGCTCCAAGATGGCTTCTAGGATGTGTTCTTCGTACTTTCTCTCTCTAGGGCTTTGTTTTTGCTCTCCAAAATCCGATTCTCTCACTTGTGGCCCGAAATTGGGTAAAAACCAGAAATTCCCGACTCACACGGGCAGGCCACACGGCCGTGTGGCATACCCAGTTGCCTGTGTGAGGTCAAAATGTCGTGTTCCGATTATGTGGGTTTCAGGCTTCCTACACGGCCAGGCACACGGCCGTGTAGCTCACCCAACCTGGCCGTGTGAAGCCTCGCAGAATTCCACATGGCCAAATCACTCCTTCACACGGCCGTGTGGAATTTATTTGTGCCCGTGTGAAGGCTGGCACAATCCCACACGGCCTCCTTGGTCACTTGCACGGCCATGTGAGTTGTGTGTGTGCCCGTGTGGCTTCCTCATTGACTTGCCTCACGCCTGATCTTCGTCCAATCGACCCCGAACTCGCTCCCAAACCTTCATTCACGTACTAGGACCTGAAATTTCACAAACAAGCACAACCTAGCGTGAAATCGGCCTAAAACACGAGAATCAACACCTCAAACGGCTCCAGAATAGGGGTAAAAACATGTGCAATTAACGGTTTATCACACGTCGATAATGCGGAACTAGCCAACACACCACTCTTCCTCCCATCGATTTCCACCGATTTGGCATCTCGAGTTCGGCTGCAATGTACGCTTTTCATTCTTGTTGTGGCGTAGTGATGGTGATTTCATGATCACCCGTGTGCGGCAGTTGGACTTGGCAGGCAGCATGATAAAAAATGGTTTTATGGGGAAAAGGTGATTAACGCACCTAGGGATTGGATTAGGGTGTTTCCCTTTTTTTTTTCTTTAGCTTAATTTAAAGGGTGGAGCCGAGTGGATGTGGTGATTAACGTGGGGTATAGCTATTATTATTACTACGTTCGTATCCCTTCATACCTAACCGTCCATCCAACCATTCATTAGATTGTGGTCGAACCTGAACCAAAATTCAGAGTGTTATATTTCCTCCATTCTTATCGAAATTTCGTCCCCAAAATTTGCTCGGAACTCTAACTTCTATCCACACCCTTCATATACTTCCTTCCCGCGATCATCTATACTTACTATAACCACCTCGTTGGTAACCCTTGATCATTTATAATTCCCTAGTGATATGATCCCGAACTCAGTGAATTCCAACCCTCACAAGATCAATCAAGAAGCTGAATCAATCACGGATAAAGAGAAGGAATTTTGGCTAAGTCATTTTAGTGTTTCAGGATACCATCTTTGGCAGCTTGCTACTCCCAAATGGCTCAATAGAAATTCAAGTTCAAGGTGTCATTTTGAAGATCAAGTTATTATCTTTACGTTGGTGTATTATGGAGCTCAAGGGGAGGTATGGAACGTTGTTTTCGAAGCTCATCAAAAGGCCACCTCAAAACAGGAAAACTGCCTGAATTTGGCTAAGGCAGAAAGCTGTTCCGAGATACCAACTTTGAAGGCCTATATCTGGAGTTTGGAGTATGAGTTTAGGCTGATTCAAATTGGAGGTGAACGAGGAGGTGTTCTTCTACAACGACAGGGCATTGGGTGAGATCGATTCATCCAGGAAGACCATTTTCGAGGGCTTCAAAGAAGCTACATCACACTGCCAGTAATCCGAGTCCCGCAAGGATTCCTCTTTTCATTCGGATTATGTTTGTAATTCAGTTTCCTTGCTTAGTTAGGTTAATTCCAGTCCTTATTCTAGTTTGTTTGTAATTGTTTAAGCCTATAAAAGGCCTCATACTCGTATTGTATTATTCAGAATACGATTGAATGAATTGTACCCCAATTCCCAAACTTGAGAGTTTGTGAGTTTGATTGGTTTTTGGTTGCGATCAAAAACTTGCTGAAGACTTTCTTATCAATTGAGAATCGCCCTCGATTGCATCGAAAGCTTCCTCATAACAAGTGTGCATCCTTCCAGGTGTAAGGGTTCCCATTCGTTTCCATCCGAAATTGAGTTTGTGAGAGCTTGACCAAGCTAGGGTCGAGCTCTGTGTTTAATCCGAGAGCATCTTCTTGACCTAACTAGCTCGCTGCGTAACTGTGATCCCTTGAGACCCGAGTTTGGGCTCATCAAGTGGCATCTATAGCCTGGTTCAATGCAGTGGACATGAGTACGGAGATAACGAAGGAGGGCGGCACCGGAGCAAGTCACTGGACGAGGTCGAAGGGCCCTGTCTCAGGTGACCCTGCCCTGTTGTTATCCGAACAGAAAAAGAAGAAGAAACAAGCAGCAGCACCTGCATCAAAGAATCAAACTTCCAACCCTGCATCTGCTTCTCTTCAATAGGAATTGACAATGGGAGAGGCTCAACCTGTTACGATGGCAGGGCTGCAGCAGTTCTTTCAAGAGCAAGTTGTTACTCTGCTCCAAAACCAGCTGGACAAGCAAGAAGAAAAATTCTAGGACATCAACAATAAATTCGATGCTCTGACTCGCCAGGTAACGATGCTGCGACGGCAGGAGGAACCAATGGCGGTGACGCCGCTCAGAACTCAGGCCGCCCATGAGCAGGGGTTCCCGCCGCCGACAAATCAAGGCAACCCGAGAAGGAATGGGGCAGAGACCCATGATCAAGCTTTGGCAGAGCGTGTTATGGAGCTCGAAAGACAGCTGATGACTCTGGACGTTAACAATCTGGACCAGCAACCGCAAAATCACCAACGCGCAGGGATGTTGCGAGGAACAGAGGAGGTACCCATATAAGAATTGAGTGGAATTAAACTATCGATTCCAGTCTTTCAAGGAACAATCAACGCTGCTACTTATTTAGATTGGGAAAGAAAGATTACTCTATTTTTTCAGTGCGGTAATTACAGCGATGCTCAGAAAATAACATTGGCTACATACGAGTTCACCGATTATGCTGCCACATGGTGGGAGAAGGTTCAATTGAGAAGAAGAAGAAGAAGGAACTTGCAGGCTCCTGTGACAACGTGGGAAGAGTTAAGGGGGTTGATGAGAGAGCGGTTTGTTCCTGCATATTATCAACGCGAGTTATACGAGTCATTGCAAGCAATTCGGCAGGGGTCGAGGTCCGTTGATGACTATTACAAAGAACTGGAGCTGTTAATGGTTAGAGCGGATGTGAGAGAGGATCAGGAGGTGACGATTTCGCGCTTTCTTCATGGCCTCAACAGGGAAGTTCGAAATGAGGTGGAGCTACGTCAATTCGTGGATTTGGAAGAAGTGGTTCACCTTGCTATCAAGGTTGAACGACAATTGTAGGCTGGATCGGGACGCTGATTTCAGAAAGCAACTCCTCAGCAGAGTGCTTCCGTTGAAAACAATTCCTCAGGAAGTAGCTTCTCCAACTCGACCAGTCATGGCACGTTCTGCAGGACAGAGTAGTGCTTCAGGTGTACAGGAGAGAGTTGGAGGAAAGACCAGCAAATTGGAGTGCTTCAAGTGCCACGGTCGTGCTCACAAATCGTTTCAGTGCCCGAACACAAAGACATTGGTTCTTTGCGACAGGGAATACTACTCCGAGTCTGAAATTGAAGACATCAAGATCAATGATGACTCCACCGATGAGGAAGTAGATGAAGAGTTTGTTGTGGATCCCCCTCCAGGCAAATTTACAATAGTGAACAAGCGTGCTTTGCGATTGAGGCTGAAAGCGAAACACAACAGCGAACTAATCTGTTTCACACACGCTGTCGAATTCAAGGAAATCTGCTCCCGCTGGTAATCGACGGTGGTAGCTATACCAATGTTGTAAGCCTGGAAACGGTAAGAAAACTTGGGCTTAACACAACCAAGCATCAGGAGCCTTATAGCCTTCACTGGTTGAATGATCATGGAGCAGTGCGAGTGACAAAACAAGCTTGGGTGAGCTGGGACAATACAAAGATCGCATTTTGTGCGATTTTGCACCGATGCAAGTGGCTCATGTGCTTCTTGGATGACCCTGGTAATTTGATCGTGGAGTAACTCACCATGGACGCACCAATTGCTACACTTTTGAACATGGAGGAAGAAGCTCAAGCTCACGCCGTTGTCACCGGCGGAAGTCAGAGATGACCAACGTCAGCTGGCAGATAATCGAGCTAAGGAAGAAGGCGGGTCGCGAAAAGAAAGCAGTCTCCTCGTTCGAAGTTATGCATTAACCGCCTTGCTGCACCCTATGGGGTTTCGAAGCCGATCAGCCCCCCCACTCTGTTGCTCGCCGACGACAATACAGGGGAAGAGAGAGAGTGAATTGGGTGGGGAAGATGGGGCCAGCCCAGGTCGAGCCAAAGACGTCGACACGCTCTCCAAGAACCCAGGAACGTGTAGCAAGAGGCACTGGGAGCAGAATCACGTCGTATCGAAAAGCCCCAACTTGCAAT